AACATGGGACAAACTCAAACAACAGCCACGGCAGACCATTGCAGCAGACTCACTGTAACAAAACGGAGACACACAGTACTTGTTCCTGGAGTCATGCAGATGTGGCTCTATCTGTAATACACAGCAGTGTATTGATTCTCCTCGGATGAATATGAAAACAAGAAGAGGGTGTAGACAGAAACCGGGAAGAGACATCTCTCTCCCACTGATTGAGATAACACCCTGTATGAAAAGCGGGAAAAGCTGCACCCCTGTGGGTGTTGCTCCTTATCAGATTATTGTTCTTTTAATAGATGTATGGGAAGTTCATCTGTTTGGGGCTATAAAAATGTCTGTGACACTGCAGGGAAGGTAGTAAAAACAGACTAAAATACTCACCAGATCTTATCTAATGTGTGATTTTTCCACACACCATTTACGACTATGATTCCTGTCCTGAGCTGGAAAATATACCTTCACGTCAGCCCAAAAATATAACTCTAGAGAACACCAGGCATGCTTTAACTTTTGGTTGAGCTACATGGGCATATGTTTTTTTGTTGGAACAATGCCAGCTACAGAAGGTATGTGGATGTGATTTGCAATTAATTTTTTATTTTTTTTTCCCCTACAAAGGACTAACGAAGCAGATGGAGCTACAGTAGGAGCGGATATTTAGCCTTTCTGAAGGGATCTTACGCCTCTGTCTATTTTTACCCACGTGTATAACAAGGTAAAAAAACACTCCTGATGTCTGTGGTTATAAACCTCCTGAGCACACAGACAGGACATGAAACTTTTACAGGGGAGCTGGGATTTTCTGCACGGAGCGCGGCATATGGAAAGAACAATTAAGTTGATGACATGATAGCATGAGGCCATGATAAATGAGCGCCACTGACTCAGAGCCCTATAAAACTGGAAACATACATGTTTGTGGAGACTATTTCTGTCCTGCAAACCGAACACACACACACACACACAGAGTGAAGGACTGGGTGGTGCCCCTGTCACACAAGACCATAATCAAAAGCTGCTGCCTCCACTGGCCTCATTTATCCTGTTTGCCAGCTTTAATAGAGGGTGAGATGTCACAGAAAAGTCCCAGTGAACATAGAAAACACACACACAGTCACACAAAAGACACACAAAGACACACTGTGCTCCTAAAGTTGATGTCAAGGGAGGGCTGAGCTGAACATTACATTTAATTTAGAGCCTAAAAAAACCTGCTCAGAGTTTATCTGTAATGAAACGGGTATGCTGTTAGTTTCATTGTGATGCCAGATTGTGCTCGAGTCTGCACAAATAAACACTCTAATCCTCTTTATGCCACTGTGGCTTTATATATCAAATTAAAAGATGGAGCACATACGGCTCTGAGTTACCTGTTGTTTATTTTTGACAGCTGTTGACGTTATCTCATCTAAAGCTGATTGTACATCATTTCACTTTGCAACGAGTTGTTCTTGTTTGTTTAGTCGTTTTGTTCTGAAATAGAAGTTTTCTAACAAATACAAAAAAAAAAAATCACACTGTTTGGATATTGTGAGTCAGTTTCACTTTTGTGTCACAGGTATTTTCACACTATAATTTCTCTGGCTTAAAAAGAATACCTGCCATGATGAGTGGTTTAATGTTCTAACTACAATCAAGCTAAGACATCTCGAAACTTGGGATGAAAACGATCGGAATTCCTGGATAACTTCCCCTTCATGGGCGTTTGAATAATGGTTGAAAACATACATCTGTTATTGAATACAGAATACTTTGAGTTTATACTGTAGCTAGTGGTGATAAAAAGGTTCATGATAACTGGATGATGGTTCATTTCTATTAACCTGATGATAAGGATTATTCTTAGGTACTGAAAAAGAAGTAAAGCTTGCTGACATTCAAGTCACTGATTCACTGATTTCATTTTTAAATTTCATTCTCCTTTATCGGTGCAGTGAGATAAAATCAATTATGATTCATTTATATAGCACTTTGAATGGCCTTGTTGCTGTCATGTGCTATATTAATGAACGTGACTCGACTGAATACAAGATATTTTTTAGTTTCCCTAAAGAAGCATGTTCACTAGAAAAAAAGATGTGTCATAACAGTAGTGCAATAAAAACCATTTGCTTCTGGATTAAATGTTGGTGATTTCAGTTTGTTTTAGTGACATTTGAAGAGCAGCTTTGATGAATATCAGGACTAAATCCATTGCTAGTGTGATTGTGAGAATGACATGTTCATATCCCCAATGCTTACAGGTGTGTAGAGTAAGTGAGTATTTGACCTTGTATGGCATCATTTTGTATGCATGGGTGTGTGTTAGTGTTTGCGCACACACCTGCTGCTGCCCCCTCGTACCTCTCCCTCCAAAATAAGCACCAGCTGCATCTTAAACCCTGCAGCTATCTCCAGGCGAGACCTAACAATGTGTCACCCAATCAAATCCCCGGCTGACTCTCTGCATCTTCTCCTAAACACAAACTGTCCAGTGTTTATGAAAAGCCACTCGCCGTAAACACACAATCTCTCCTTGTTACTGCAGCGAAAAGAGGCCCTGAGGTGTTTTCGAAGGAGTCAGTCAGAGGAAAAATTGTTTTGTTGTTAGTATAGATCCAAACCACACAGACTTGTATGAATGTCTTTCACGGGCGTAACGACTTCTTGAGGGAAATTGACCTTTCAAGTGTCATTTCTGTTGTCAAGGGGGGAAATCAATGCCACAATCTGTTTTCTTTATGAATCTGAATGAAGTAAATACAATTAGGCCTGTGAGTCTATAGCATGGGATCTAATCAAAGTGATTTATCGCATTACAATGACGGATGTCTTTCAAACATATTCCCCCACAGACTCGGCACGTTGGGGGTGGAGGCTGGCGAGGGTCAGGTCAGGGACATGTGGGACTTTAGAGAGAATTTGGCGAACAGACTTGAAGAAAACGAGTGAAGTCAGACGTCCTCCTGTGACCTGATGTGATTTTCCATTACTGTCTCTCTTAATCACAGTGAGCCACGGGAAATGATGGAAGGGTGGTGGAGGGGGGGGGGGCAGATGAAGGGATTTGGGGAGAATGAGATGGAGTCATTGTATGATGTGGTTGTGTGTGAAATGCAATGAACCAGGGAATGAGCCTCAGGGTGTTTCCCCGAATCTGAAGCTATTTCACACCAAATCCGGTTGACTTGCTTCACCTGGGAAAGGATACTAACACACTCACACACGTGTGTTCATGTGTGTTTTTCACCAGCAGATAAAGTAGGACAACAATAACCACAATGCATTGACTGCATGAGTGTCTGATATGTGTAACATGAATTTTCTTGATGCAGCAGATTTCCTCCTCATGATAATCCATCGATTAGATGTCAAAATGTATATTTTTATAGACATATTTCCTGTTATAGAGAATGTATTTGCATACAATGTGCTGGATTAAATGCCTGGAATTGATACTTTGTGTTTTTTGTTCTGCTTTGTGAATGAGGAAACTTTCAAAACACTTTCTATTAATGAATGTGAAGAGAAAAAAGAAAACTGTGGCAAAAAAAAACAACAACACTTTTTACTTGATGTGTCAAATTGGTGGACATTTGTAACAACCTTTACATTACAGGACTTTTTAAAATTTTTTTTGGCCTTTTCGCCTTTATTAGATAGGACAGCTGAAGAGGATGATATGCAGCAAAGAACCGAGGTCAACACAGAGCCACAGCCGCTGCGAGGAGGACTACAGCCTCTGTACATGGGGTGCTTGACATAACCGCTAAGCTGTCAGCGTTCCCACAGTACTTAAAAAAAACTTGATAATGTTCTGGTTGAAGTTTCATCCCAGGTCACATTATACACAGAAGTAGGTTTCATGAAGATCTTTTAAATATGAACTGTTTCATTTTTGTATTCGCATCATGGCATACGCGGAACAGTCTTGCTGTAATTAAATTTTGACTTTCGGGATAACACTTTGAAAGGAAAGATTAGTCAGCATTCACTTGGGAATAGCAGCTGTTGCTTGTGAAAGCGTGATAATTAATACTCATCAAAAATACGTCTCAAGTTTCAATCTGCTGGAATTCATATTTGCTTATCAACACTGAACTTTAAGTGATAAATACGACAGCGTCAAAGCAGGCTTGACCAAACACAAGATAAAGAGTGAAAATCTTTTCTACCTGAACATCATAAACTGGTTCACATTAAAATTATAGACGGAATAGATGTATACATGATCTGCTACTGGAATGTAAAAAAATACATCTACAGCTATTTGCTGCATACAACCATTTGATGATTGTGCCCCCAATTTATAATGTACAAACACCATGTGTGAATATCCTGATTACCAGTGGATGACATACTGTTTAGTGTACAGTGGTGTAATACAGTATATATGTTGTTCTAGTAACTTTGTCCTGTCAGTGTTATGTGCAGCTCAGAACTTGTTAAATCTGCATGAGGTGAAGTTAGGGGACATAGCAGATAAAAACAGGAACAAACACTCTGCACGGTGCCTACTTATGGTAAATACATTACTCACCGTCAAGTCCGCTCATATTCCTATATAAATAAAAACAAACTTTTCCACTCTGTGCAGAAATTCTCAAAAAGGATGAGTTACCTGTTTGTATAAAGGAGATGCATTAATTCATTTAATTTCATGATTAATTGTTAATCCTTTTTTTCAAGTCGGGCTATGTTTCCTTAAGGCATTTAATAATCTCCTTTACAAACATTATCCGGTGAGATAAGAATGTTTTAATGATAAAAGTACATTCTTAGAGTCCAGCTACACCTGCAGTGACTCAGCACTCTTAACCTCAAGTCACCAGTTGTCTTTATGTTAGACTCACTGTACCTACTATACCCATAAAGATTAAAACCATGATAATGAACGGCTGGTTGATTATTGTGAATGTCGGAATGAAGTCATACAATGGTTTTATTATGTGCTGCCATAAATTGTCCATTTTGCACCACTAGTCCTTGAAAAGAAAGGAACGTGAGTGTATTGTTATGGGTACCTTGTAAAATGAGCTGTGCCTGGGCTTCAATGCTTGCGTTTCCATTTTCAGCCATGCAGGTGTAGACGCCGGCATCTTCCTCTGTGAGATTGGAGATCTGGAGACTTCCTCCTCCCTGCAGCTCCACTCGACCCTCACTGGAGAAAGAAGCAAACAAAGTTCAGGAAAAAGGAAGACAGAAAATGTTTAAGATCATTTTCACATAAACAGTATTAACAACCTTTGGGGATTTGCTACTCAAGATGCTGCCAGCATCACTTCCAGGAGACCTCAGGTCACAGATTAATCAGGATCAAATTCAAATTCAGTTTCATTTTCCAACCAGACGTTTAAAATATAGAAGCGAGATAACAGACAGTTTTAGGTTGCAGCCCCGGGAGCTCCATGTTCCCCTACTGACCTCAAGTTGACTCCACATCTCTTCCTTCCCTCCTTCACTCTGTCACCTTGTTCCCTCTCTATGAATGAATAAATGATGCTACAAGCGCACTCAAGAGCCAGGAAAAAAGCAAATTCCAGTTCTGCTTAATTTATATTTTATATATTAATTTGTAGACATCATGGTCACTCGAGATGCACTGAAAAAAAATAAAGAGCATTTAAGAGAAAAAAAGAGTTACATAAAGTGATCTTACTTTGGGTGTAAGAATATTAAAAAAAACAACATTTATAAGGTCGAGCTACAGCTTGTGCTTTTCACATTGTCACCGTCACTTCTGCAGATGTTACATCCCATCAACAAATGTTTTCGTTTTCTTTCATCAGCTGTTGATTAACCGGAGTAACAGGCATCTGCAGAATAAACGCCCTAACATGAATGGGAGGTGAGTCAGACTCAGAGAACTAATGATTGTTTTCATTCAGAAGTGACTGAGGTGAATCATTTCTCTCAAATCACTGATAAGTATCCAAAAATCACATCATCATTCCCCACCTCGACACACTCTAGGTAATTCAGTCTGTTTTGTGCTTGAAGTTCCGGTTAAATACTTTCTCTTTGTAGTTAAGTCATTTAAGGAAATTGATGTTTTCCTGTCTATAATATACATAAATATTTACATATCCCAACACTCAAGGCAGGAGAAAGTGGATGCTCAATGAAAACTGAATAATTACTGTTTTAGAATAACATCAGTTACACGCCTCTCAAGCTAAGCCATTTTAAATATTTTATTATTCAGAGCTATTTATGCTTATTCCAGAAAGATAAACACTCATCTATTTGTATAGCCTCTCATTGAACCAGTGACCCCGCCTCCATTTTATAAAGCCCCAACTTTGATTTTCCCAAAGGGCCCAGGGGAAGCAGTCTGTGGCCCAGCTCTGGCTTGATTCAACAAGCAGTGGAGCATGGGAGAGGAGGAGGAGGCTGAGAGGAGAGAAAACAGAAATCAATAGCTCACAGAGAGAGAACTCTGCATTCAGAGAGAGAGAAACAGAGAGGCAGGGGGAAAAAAAAAAAGGAGAAGCAGCAAGTGAGCTCAGGAAGATAAAAATCCAAAGAGGGCCACAGCGAGTGAGATGCAGCAGAGGAGAACAGGATCAGTGTATAATAGCTTTTGCACAGAGGAGAGAGGAAACATGCAGAGGTGAAGTGTGAACTCGGTGAGGAAAACAACCCTATGCCACAGGGATATTTACTTTTTAAGCAAACTGCTGACTAGCCAGGGTTAACACGTCCTCCCTGTTTGTCTTTGCCTCTCTACTTGTGGGTTTGGCAGCATCGGCTTCAGAGACCATCTGTCTGTCTGTCTGTGCTGGAGAGGAGCACTCGAGTGGCACTCGACCTGCTGTCACCAAAGTGACATCACTGTCGCTCTCCAATTGTACGGATGAAATGGACTATTAACTGCAGCATCGACCACAATCACATACAAGTATGACAGTCAGTTTAAAGTTCAGCTCTGAGCGAGGGAGCGTGACGGCCTCGTAAAAAAAAAAAAAAAGACGAAAACTTAAATGTTGGAAAAATAAGATATGTGGTTGAAGATTATACCTAATATAAATGAAATAAAGGATCAGCGCATGAAAGAGCTTATGTGAATCTTCTTCACTGACGGAAAAAGAACAAAGTGATGAGCCACTCTATCCCTCTTTTAAATAGTATGTGATTGACAGAAACCCTTCTTTATCACACAGCTCTGTTAAATACTTGATTCTGATTAGCCAATTACACACAGGAATGGTCTGCGCTTTCTTGATAGCAGACTGTTGTTTACTGTTGAACAAACCGTTACAATGGAGAGCAGGCGGTTGCTACTTGTTAGTGACGTCGCTCTGATCCACTGAGACAGAATAAATACAAGCTTCAAGTTTATCAGGAGCTTCCACCTATTATTACATTTAAGTTTATTAACAGAAGGAATAATGCTGTGAGGGATTTTTTTTTGTGGAGAGATAGGACAGTGGATAGAGTAGGAAATCAGAGAGAGAGAGAGAGAGTGAAGGGAACGACATGCGGGAAAGGAGCCACAGGTGGGATACGAGCCTGGGCCGCCCGCTTGGAGGACCAAGGCCTTCATACAAGGGGCGTGCGCACTAATCACTGCGCCACCAGCGCCCCGTTTTATTCAATTTCTAATCTAAAAGCTCTACACCAAATACGCACCATTATAAATCCTCTTATGTGTCAACCTGCTAAGCAATAAACGTGATACAGAAACACTGTAATTACTGTTACAGTTTGGTATCAGGTTTATGAAGTCAGGTCAAAAAGAGCATTTTGACAAGTTTACGCCGACAGCAAACATAAGGTAATCCCTGATCACTACATCGGTCTAGCAGCTGTATCAAACAGCACAACCTGCTCACTCTGACAGCCGCAGAATGTAAAATAAACAGAAACACTGAAAAGATACTGTACTCAGCACGCAGGCTGACAGAAAACATTCTGGGCCTTTAAGGTGGGAATGAAGGTGCGACACAAAGAAGGCAGCTGCTTTTCTTTCGCTCCCAAGACGACAGAACAAAACACAAAACCACTGAAAATGCCTAACGTCTTGCTGTACATTTGACTACTTCCCCCTGCACATTAGAGGGAGTATAGCTCAGGCCGGGGAGAGGCTCTGCACGCCAAATCCTTGTTTGAATGAAACATTTGAAATTCCTCTGAAAGACGTCGCTCAGTTCATTGTGCCAGGCATTCCTGCAGCTAGTCTCACCAGGACGACCATTCAGAGTCCTGGCCTTTAGTGACACAGCGTCAGAAAGGGCACTGACAGCTTCCTCTTGTACTTGAAAGCAGGAACATACAAAGAATGTCAAACCACCAGGCTATTTCTCATTCTGTTTAGAGCAAGTCAATCTTAGCGCTGACTGTGGCAGTGTAAGTGCTCTCTGGAACAAGAAAAGTGTTGCTGTTAAAGACCATGAGGGAGAGGGAGCTGAATGGGCTGAATACACCTTACACTATTGTAAGGGAGCTTGCTACCCTTCATGTTCTGCTTTCATTTCAATAAAGACACAGTACCTGCTTTAAGGATATAAAGATAACCTTTGCGTTACCTGCAGGTCTTTGGTTGGAGATTAAGCAAGGTTCTTATTAAAGCTGCATTATGGACAAAAAAACCTGTTTGTTTAGCTCACTATTGTTTCACTCTCGTACTGTACCATTAAGAAAAACAGCAGGTACTCATAGGTCTAAAGACATACCATTCAAGCAACACAAGATAACAAGCTAAATGTGGTCATTAGCTTCGATGCTATGCTTATAACTGGCCTTGCCAATTCTATTAGACGTTGTTATGTTGATGTTTTTCCTTATTCGAAGCAAAACATTTCCACATTGTTTGAATTGTTGTGTGAAGTGTTTGGACGTAACTTTATGCATCCCAGAGGTCACATCAGTTTTTACTTAACTGTCGCATTACTACTTCCCAGGGTTACGTGTAGTGTAAGGTTTAATAGCTTGATTTAAAGTGATTATATTTATTCATCCAAATGATGCTTCTTTAGACTTTTGTCCTTGGTAGCCTTTATTATGATGATGTGAATGTATCGCAGGTCAGGGTAGGTCACGGTGGCTGCCAGCCGAAGAGCTACATGTAAAGGAAGGAATAAAGATGAGGCATAAGAAAAGAGGCAAAAACATTACTACAGAAATGGAAAAATAGATTTTCCTTCCAAGATTCATGAACATTCTTGTTTGTCGCAAACTTTGTGCAAGCTGCAAAACGCTTTCAACCCTCAATCAATAAATCAATCTGTATTTGTATAGTGCAAATTAATAACAAATTTATCACAAGATACTTTACAAAAAGCAGGTAAAAGACCTAACTTATTGCTATGTTATTTACAAAGACCCAACGCTAGTCTATCATGAGCAACATTTAAGTTACAGTGGTAAGAAAAAACTGCCTTTAAGAGGCAGGAACCTCGAGCAGAACCAGACTCGTGATGAACAGACATCTGCAGAACTGTGCCGGGCTTGAGAAGTGGACAGAGGGAGATGAGGAAGAAAGAAGGATAGAAACAAACAGAGCAGCATCAATGAATAAGATAGATTTATAGCTACAATGTCAGTAATAAAGGTAAAATCATGTGTAGTTTTAGCAGTAACAGATAAGTATGAAAATAGATCTGATCAGTCTAATATTAATGTTAGCAACTGTAATGATGATGAAACCATGGAAATGTCTATTTTGTTCAAGCATCAAACATAACAGCAAAGCAATCAAACTTGTGAATAAAGTTATTTCAATATAGATACCGATATTGTTATCATCTCTGATACAGCATGACAAGTATTAATGGTGCTACTGTAAGTATAGGTGAATAACTCAACAGAACATTGCGTTAAGTTTTTGTGAAAGTTAGAGAAATGCAGCAATGTTTTTTCTTTCCACCAATAATGTGTCTTTTATTAATAACTAAATAGTCTTAGTTGTGAACTCAATGATCAAGTCTATTTATTTTAATGGTAATAGGAGGTACTGACTTGTCTAACACATTTGGTCGCAATGAAAATCCCCAGATTTTGAGAAGCAGTAAGAAATGTATCAGTATCATCAACCTGTCAAAATATTTCACTTTCAACACCTGTAGCATCGTCTATCAGTTTCAAATGTTGAAAAAGAAGAACATCCTCCTCCTCTTTTGATCCTCTCTTGTGTGTAACTTGTCGAGGAAAGGTGTTGAG